TGATTTTAAATTTTTACTGAGTTTTTTTACATTTTATACAACAGTTCTTAATCAAATTCAGAACCTCTGCCCCATACATGTCCTGTCCCAACCCCTCCACACACACTGGACGTCATGTATTCTGCCATACATGTTAAGTCCTATCCAGTCAAGCATTTGTATCCAGATGTCTTTTAGTGCAAATTCATCCAATGAAGTCTTGTCAGACTATCTAAAGATTGTTGGTAAGGCCTGTTTTCCCTCACCCAGTATTAATCAGTCTCCAGTAGTTCCCAGATTAGGACTGATCAGCCACCCATTTCTTTTGCTCCACTCTGGGCCCATGTCTGAGTTGACATGGGCCCTATGCTTGATGACACCATTGCCACAAGTTCACATATGCAAGCCTCCAGTGGCCTGAAAGCCTTTGCTTCCCTATGTTCATGGACCAACCTTGACTCTTCTGCAATGGTTCCTGAGTTGTGTGTGGGAGAGGTTTGACACGGACAGATTAAATTTCTTATCATATGCTAAATATGGAACCTTACACTTACAGACAAGTATACTGTATACCACTCATCAAAGAAACTTCTTTCTGCAATAGATGGAGGTTACTGCAGAATCTCACAACTAGTCAGACACAGAGAATATGCATCTGAGAGATGCCAAGTACTAGGTAATGTATCTATAGTAGAACCTCTATACTTAAGACTCAGAACATTGTGGAACGAGGGGTAGAGAGAAACCCTCAACTCTCACCAGTGAAGATTCCTTATGCAACAGAGTGTGAGGCACAAAAAAGCCCATAACTGGCCAACTTTTAAAGAATAAGAGACTACAGAAAGTGTGTCCCTGGATAGGACTTCCTATATTAATAGGTAATTTTAATCAAGCAACCTATGATAAGTTTCTATTTAATTTTTAATCTCCCCTTCCCACATACTTTTCCTTCACAGTCTTCCTTAAGATCTTCTTTTCTCTAGGCTAATAACAAATAGTCTCGTGCATTCCTCAGTATAATCCACCACCCTTTTTTTTTCTAAAAGAAATATTTGAGTCCTAATTTAAACTATCATGCTATCAGGTCTGGACCAATTTCTGAGTAAAACTTCAAATAGTTTATCTATCTATCTATCTATCTATCTATCTATCTATCTATCTATCTATCTATCTATCTGTCTATCTATCTATCTATGTATATATCTTTGTATCTATCTACCATCTCAAAAATCAAACTGTTTCTACTGATGAGGGGAAATTTCAATATTGAAGCAAGGGAGGCTAAGTTTGGTGATTATGACTGCAATTCACAGCTAAACTTTGTAGTTAGCAATGTTTGCTGAATATTTCCAGTTGCAAAGGTAATATAAATAATAAAATGTCGGGGTACTAATGAAGTAGAATGAAAGATCATGTGTTACTTGATAGAAAATTCCACCCACAGTAATTCCTCTTTAATCCCAATAAACTTACTTTTGTCTCGTAGATGTATGAATTATTTTTGTTTTATTTTCCATTCAAAATATGCCACATTTTATGCAAAGATGTAAATGTTGAGTTTCTTTGCTTCAAATTATATTTTTCATATTCAGTCTGGCAAAGAGAAGGAGGCAGGAAGATTCATTACTTTAAAATTAACTAAAATTGTTTTCTAAATAATATAATTTACTTTGTAATATATTTTCAAACATTTTTACATTAAGCATTAATGTTTAATCACAGCATTAGTACAGGAGATGTTGATTATATACATATTTTCTACATCATTTATA